GGGCTTCCGCCGTCTTTTTCTCTTTAAATTCGGTCTGTCCGTTTCGCAGATAACCGTAAAAATTAACAGAGGGAAGATGCGTTTCATGCCTGTGTCACTGTTTGCGCTGAATCTTTCCCCCTGGCCCGAGTCGAATAATGATAATGTAGTTATCGTGTTTTAATACCCTCTCCATCCACTTTGGAATTTTCCAATTTCCTTCGCGTTGAAAATATTACGCGCAAGGCCGTGGTTGATCAACGCGAGTAGACGAGGAAGATACACGTTCACGATTGGCTGGAAATAAATTAACCTGCGTCATAATGGACGAATTGAAAGGGAAGTTGTTTGAGGTGTACCGCTAAGTAATTTCCAACCGGAGCCAAACATGTTTATCAACCATTCCGGAAGAAAGGTTCGTTTGTTGTGACGAGTTTCGTAATAAGGGACCATAAATTATAGCCGTTATCTGTCGCAGCCAGCGGTTAATGATTGCGAGATCGGACTCCTCGTGATTTTAAAGAGCCCCGAATTTGACTTGGAAATTATTCTTCCCTATATTTGTTCCCTCCTGGTACCGCAGGACGCAGTCATAGATCGTAGACGGAATTCTTCAACAGTTCGCTCTACGTAATTTCGGCGGCGTGATTAAACGTTCAAATATTCACACGACGCCTCGATACATGACGAATATCGAGAAATATATACCATTGAATATCACGTCGGTTAGTGAACCGTCCGATTTCAAGATCTCCCTCGGTTTCATACCTCGAAACGGTTTCGCGAAAGAAGCAAAACAACGAAGAACTTGCTGGATCTGCTGGAGAAAATACGAAAAGGCTGATGAAAGATGCGCCGCCGTTGCAAATAAATTGGAACCGTCCGGCCATGGGTTAGAGGGGCTGTTCTCGGGAAGATATATACGCTCTCTTAAATACTGGAACCGCCGCGGCACTGGAAACGATGGTAAGGGAAAGCTGCTTTGAAAGAACGGACTCGACGACAGGACGAAGGCCCCCACAGTCCTTGAAAATATCGGGAAATTCATTAATGCCCGATCCGCGGGGTTTGGTCGAATAAATTTCATCTGGCGGATAAAATTTACAGCGACACGCGATACTGTTGAAAATGAAAACCGTCACTGGCCTGCTGCTTTTCGACGATTCCCTCGTGTTACTAAAATGTTGCCTTATCTTTGTTCTGGCTCTGGTGATTCAAGGCAATTCGTTTAAAAGCGTGGAATGTATAAGAACGACTCCTTTTCCATTACATTTATTCTTATTTCTCAAGATCTTTTCTAATACATCTTGGTATTATATTTTTATTTGCTTCATAGAGCAAAGGCCCTGTTCATTATTGGTCTTATTGCTGAGTAATTAGCCAAGGGAAAAAGATAATGGGTTGAGAATGGTCTCCACACAATAATCTCAAAGATAATTTGAGTT